TATATATTTCAAAATAAAATTTTATTTCATACACATTTAAATAAATTTTTTTATTAAAAAAATATAAAAAAAAATTAAACAAATTTTGTCCTCTATAATTATTTTTTTTAGAACAGAAATATACAAAAAAATTTAAAGAATTTTTTTCCTCTATAATTATTATTTTTAGAACAGAAATATACAAAAAAAAATTTAAAGAATTTTTTTCCTCTATAATTATTATTTTTAAAACAGAAATATACAAAAAAAAATAAATAAATTATTTTTGAATTATTATATATATTTTAATTTCACTTTTGATATTCATAATATCTGAAATAAAATTTTAATAATACATTAAATAAACGTATAATATTTTTAAAAATTATAATTTATTAATTAAAACGTTGAAGATTATATAAATGGATCTATTACAATCCACACCATGGATATTTACATCAATCATGTGGTATCGTACAGAAAATTATCCTTATAATTAAAAGAAATAAGATGTAGGAAAAAATGAATTCTAGATTTGTACATCAGTTATGGAGTTTATTATGACCACATTATGAATCTTAAAAAGATTGTTGGTAATTGATTCAGATTTATTTTGATTTAGATTGGATCTTATTTGTGATATAGATTATGACATTAGAGAGCTAGGTATTCATCAATATAAACCTCAACAGAAAATCAATGGCAAATCAGGTACTTAGAATTGGAGTTTAGATGTGTGAGCTCTCCAAAAAAAAAATTTCATTTTTGAGTCAGCCCAACACAAATTTTTAGCAAATTTTCATTAAGTGCAATTTCATTTACAAGTTTAAGCACCAAAAAAAATTGTTAATCAAATAACGTATAATTTTTTTATTACTTAAAATGCTGGTGCTCAATTGATTTGATTGATCTAAATTGATTTCAGTCCGTGATTACACATTGTTATCCTAAAATTGCACAATCTAATACAAAGAAGTTAAGGGGTTGCAATTTAAATAGGTTAGGCATTTGGAGATTGTAAATACATTTTTTGTTGTAAATGATGCTGAAGCATAAATATTTCTAAACTATATTTAATTTCTTGGTCAAAATATCTTTAAATTTATTTTAGTTTTGTTATTTATAAAAATGTTTAACATTCTATATATATATATATATATATATATATATATATATATATATATATATATATATATATATATGAAGAACTAAAAATATTTTGTATATGGTTTCTTGTAAAAATAACTGCCAATGATACACTTGATGTTTCAAAACCAATATCAGTATTATATAAGTTTTTATTTAATTTTTAATTTACACATTTGATCTTTAATTCAAGTGAATTCAATTTTGATGGCAGGGGATCTAGAATCAATATAAGTATATCTTTTTTTATAAGTTTTGATGAAATATATATTTATATATTAACAGTAAAATAAATATAATAAATATCTTTTTGAAAAACAGATTTATTATTATTATTCATGATATAAATAAATCACATTTACTTTGATCTTTAAATTGATGTGAGCTGCCTCAAAGATATTTTTATCTCCAAAATACATGTGAATCAAAGTCATGGTAAAATCAGAATGATAAAACCAACAGAATTTATTTTTTTAAAGATCTGAGTGAACTTTAAATATTATACTTGCATATCTAAATGAAAATGTGATTTAAATCAGATGCAATTTTTTATAGATTTTTTCAAAAAAAAATTATTATTCTTATAATTTAACTAAATAATTTTATATAATTGGAATAAATAATTTTAAAAAATAATTAAAATAAATAATGTACCAATTAGTTGAATGATATGTACATAAATAATATTCAAAAAAATCAACATTTGTTTTTTAGATTTATAAGAATAAAAAAAAATTATTGTTTATGAGAATTTTGTTTAGCATGGCAGACTTTGTTTGAAGTCATTTAGAAACAAGTTTTGATTGCATTTCTATTGTGGGATAATGACATCCTCTCTTTGAACCTGATCACCAATTTAGATCTTGATATTTTAAAATTAAAATTCTGGTACTTTTATTTTCTTTTTAGAGATTTTGTTTGTCCGAAGTTTTAACTCCTCGTGCAGCTGCACGAGGAGATACGAGGTCAAAAGTCATAGAGATTGAGAACACCAGCTTGATGAATAAATATTTGCAATTGTAGAAAAATGTGCCAACTTATTGTCGGTGGTAATCCTGTAGCTGATTGCTGAGGAGTCAGAATTTTGTCATTGTTAGCCAAGTGAATAATTAAAGAGTTCTTTTGCTTTTGCATGCTAAATTCTGATCCTATAAGGTCCACGATGGAACTTTGTACATCACATCTTAGAGTTTCATCATACATGAAAACCCACTAAAGTCTACTAGAGATCAAGTGGTTATAATCTACCACCTGATTTTTTTGTTTGACAACTCTTAGCAATTGGATTATCAACTCCAATCTAAGGTTTCATCTACCAGATAAAAATTGTTGATATGATGAATGGTGTAGTCAAAAGCAATGCAAAAATTCATTAAAAAGAAGGGCATACTATGAGCTAGATATTGTTGAACAATCGAATCGATCGGCTATTCTGATCTGCAACTCAAGGCCTATATTCCAATACAACTGAAGATTTTTGAAAACAAGAACCTTTAAATAGTTTGTATTGATCCTATCAAATGGTCTATGTGGCCTTGTTCTGTGAATTCTACGTACCTGTTACATCAGCTTAAAACTGTTATCGTGCTTAGCGTTAGTGGTGCCCATTATAAATTTCACGCGACTTTCATATTATCCTACTTGTTCAAAGTCACTCCAAAGTTCCCATTGAGAACGTTTACCCGTCAGAGAATTAGCTTCCCCAATTCTATCTTTCGACGTTACAGTTCAGCATGTCCTGCAGTAATTTCAACATTGAAGTTTGCAACATCTACCTTCTTCGAGTCTTTTGATTCTTGTCTCGTGTGCGGATTTCACTTGCTGTCGAAGAAGGCCTGTGGAGGCTTCCGGGCCTGATAATTAATTACGTTTTGCATGGGTCTTTAAAGAAATATCCGAGGTCAATTCTGGCTTATAGAAATGAATTTTAGAGTCATGGACAAGCTAAACTTTGTGACCCACATGAGTTGGCGATAGTTTAAAGCTTCAAAGTTTTAGTTGTTAATATAACATAGGGCTGTTGTAAATAGCTTTTAATATTGGCTTGCAATTTTGAGTACTTGGATAGTCTACTAGAAGTAATTGATGTACAGTAGGTGGAAAGGTTATTAGAATATAACACGCGGTTACTTCTGTTTTAAATGGGTGTGCAACCGAATATATTGTAATACGGAATAAATTCTAGCATGTGAAAGTAAAGTGGAATGTAACGTCAAAGAGTAAAGAACATAATATGAGCAATTAATACAATAATAATGACTGGTGTTATGACTTATATTCAATGTGTGGGTCGTTCTCAGTAATCTATGTCATCAAGTGCTCTATGTCATCAAGAGTTCTAGTTTGATACAGAATCCTCATGATTGTCAATATAAATATACAATATCTCCATTATATCCCTTATACAATATCTCAGGATCACTTGAGTCATCAAGAGCTCTATGTCATCAAGAGTTCTAGTTTGATACAGACTCCTCATGATTATCAATATAAATATACAATATCTCCACAATATCTCTTATACAATATATCAGGATCACTTGAGTCCTTTTCAAGAAAGAACTTTTTCATACATACTTGATTACTTGGCAAGTTGTGAAACAGTTAGCCATGGTCAACTCAAACTCTTATTCTACCTTCAAGTAAAACAATACTTCTCATAGAGAACCTTGGCCTTCAGCCACAACACTATAAGTAACAGAGACGACGTGTGGTGTTGAAATTTTTGTAGGCTCCACAATGAGTGTCAACTCTTGACGTACTTAGTTTTGAAGATCAACAGCAGAATTTCCAACTTCCATCTATAGATTCAATTGTCAATTGAGAGTTGCAGAACTAGAGTTGCATTTTGAGCTTTCAGGTCATTTCGACAATTTTTACAGGATGAACGAATACAGCAATAACTCCTTGACCAAGGAGGGAAATTCTTGTTCATACCGAATTGAACAGCATGACTTGGAATATCAAGGTGCGAGGACTTGTGGCTGAATGTATTTCTGTCCTTGTAGAGTGAATAGAAAATCTTGTCTAGATATGACATAGAAGTAGAGAGGTCATTTTCAGCCTGTTGAGTGTTTCTAGAGGTCTTCATCCTTTGCAGTGAAGAAGACAATCTTTGGAAACTCAAGACCAAAAATTCATAGGTATGATATTTTTTTCTTCTAATACCAATCATCGTGAAAACAGATCAAAGCCAAGTCAGTGAGGGTAATGCTGGTCAAAGTTCCAGACATGAAGTGAAAATTAATGTTTATCCTGAGAAGATTCAACCAGATTTGACTGCTGTCAGTGGTAAGAGAGACATCAAAGATGGTGATAACATGTTCAAAGGTTCTTCATTGCGCATGTCTATCAAGGTACACCAAAAGATGAAATACTTTCGTGCTCGTTCATCATTCATATATCATGTTTTCCTTACTTCATAGCACGTTCAATTCGTTGTACAATGTACTAAAAAAATGGATTAATTACTTGATGAAAGAAGTTCATCATGCGTAAGGAGTAACCTACAGCTATAACATTCAAAAGATTTTTTGATATCAGATTGATAACATTCTAGATAACAAATTTGATCAGGATTTCAATTCAGGATCCTCAGAACTGAAATTTTGAAAAAGTATGAGTTTAAGTTTGAAACTAACTTCTATAACTAGTATGCAGATCTTATTTCCAGAATTATTTGATGTGAATTGTAAAATAGATACTCATCTAGTACCGTATTACTTAGTCAAACTCATCAAATTTGTGATTAAATTGAATTTTAATGTATTTGAAAAGTTTGGATGGTGTAGAATTTGTAGTTTACTTTTTGTAGTCTGATGACAGTCTCACATAAACTGGTGATGAAAGCTGATGAAATCTAAAAATATTTCAATATGCAGTTCGAGGATGTGAGATACAGTGTTCAGAATTACGTCAAAACTTCAGGACGTCTTCCACGGATAAATTCTACTGTCTCTGAAGAAAAAGTGATTCTGCATGGATTGAGTGGGATGATGCTTCCTGGCAAGATAACAGCACTGTTGGGACCATCTGGGAGTGGTAAAACGACACTGCTACGTCTGTTAGGAGGACGAGACCTTAATTACAAGGGGAGCATCACATACAATGGGTTACCTCTCAACAGTCTTGTGAAAAGAAGGTGGGTAACATAGCTTATGAGGTCGAATAAGACGAAGTCCAAAAAAACGATTTGTGCTGTAGTTCAATAATTTGTTAAGGAATCATGTCTGACCCAATCGTGCTTTGGTTTTCCAGAATGGGTTTCGTGACTCAAGAAGACATACTGTACCCTTACTTGACAGTCCATGAAACACTCTTGTTTGCTGCTTTAATGAAGCTGCCAAAATCAATGTCAAGAGAGGCGAAGATGCAAAGAGTACAAGAAGTAATCACGGAGCTTGATTTGGAGAGGTAGGAAGTTTTTGTAGTGATGGTACATTAGCAATCTTATGGTATGTGTAAACAGCTATTAGAAAGATTCAACTCTTATGTGGCGTGCAGCTTTTCCTATGAGATTTAGTGTCAATTGTTTTGCTTTCGAGTTCCATTCCAGAAGCTATATACTTAAGACTTTAATATGGATTAGTAAAATTCGAATGTATTCCAATCCTACAAAATTCAGATGATTTTTGTATTTGATTATCCAATTTTTTCTTTTAAAGGATATAGCTTCATGTGACATTATTCTCAGGTGCAAGGGAACCATAGTAGGAGGACCGCTGAAGAAAAGTATATCTGGAGGCGAGAAGAAAAGAGTTTGCATTGGCGAAGAGATGTTGACAAAGCCTTCTATTCTGCTACTTGACGAGCCTACTTCTGGCTTAGATTCTACAACAGCACTTCGAGTCATAAGGATGTTGAAAAGATTTGCAAAGGTGACGATCATGAGAGTTAGATAGTTTTTTCTTTGACTTTTAACTTTGACTGAGAATGTGATCTTTGTTGTGTTATTTTCTAATGAGAACCATTTCCATAAATTATTTGGCCGGAACCATTATCTAAAAATGAGTAGTCATTTCTCATTTCAGGAAGGGCATACAGTGGTCACATCGATTCATCAACCTTCAAGCATTCAATTTTACCACTTCGATCAGATTTTGCTCTTTTCAACTGGTCAGCTCATCTACTCTGGAGAAGCCAAGGAAGCAGTCAGCTACTTTGCATCTCTGGGTCTCAGTCCAAATCTTGTCATGAATCCAGCTGAGTTTCTACTTGATCTAGCCCATGGATCAACATTGGACGTTCAGATGCAAAGTCAAAATTTGAGAAAAACGACTAACATTCAAGGTCATATGGATGGTGATGAGGATCTGCAGAATTCAAATGAAATGCTTCAGGTTAGTTGTACGTTTCTATTTGACATATTTATAAATAATTTGATAAAAATAGTAGGAATTTTAAAGTTATGGAAAAAATCTTAATTTTGTACAAAACATCACAACTAAATTTTGAGCTGATTTGGCTGACAGTTTCTGAAAGGAAGCTATGAAGCTCTTATCATCATCAAGGAGAAATGCAAACTCTTAGAAATGAGCGATTCTGGGAGCGAAATATTGAATGGCGAGGAGACAACCGACAAACAACAGACGTGGTGGAGCCAATTCGTCATTCTCTTATGGCGCATTTTCAAAGAGAGAAAGCTTGAGTTTCTGAGCTTTATACGCTTGTTGCAAACTCTGGCGGTGGCTTTCGTTGTTAGTGTCTTGTGGTGGGATTCAAATACAGACTCTCAGCGGGATCGTGAAGATCAGGTGAGAAAAAATATGGAGTTGAAATGTGCAACACTATATTTTTGTTTTTCTGTGACGACATTGCACATCAAGATAGAGTAGTTCAGCTTGAGCCATTTGGATTATGATCTTTCTAATGAAGTCGGAAAACAATAAATCTTGCACTGAAATTGAACTCGTTTATTCTCAAGTTAGGGAAGCACTTAACACTCAGTGCTCTAACAGCTTTGCTCTTATAATGTGCGCAGCAAGGACTGATCTTTGTGATCACTTTGTTCTGGGCATCTATTCCTCTCTCCACAGCAGTATTGACATTTTGTCAAGAAAGGACAATGCTCATCAAGGAGAAGAATAGCAATATGTACCGACTAAGTGCTTACTTTATGAGTCGATCTATTGGAGACTTGCCTCTTGATTGCTTTTTGGCAACGGTGTTTCTAATTGTGGTCTACTTCATGACACATTTGAAGATGACAGCAGCTTCATTCCTGCTCACCGTATTTGGCACATATCTGAGTATCATGGCAGCTCAAGTAAGACATCATATTTTTGCTTATCTTTTGGTGATTAAGTGGCTGCTGAGCTAAGTACTGAGTCTGAAATCAAACAAAAGTATATATTTACTTCTTTTCTAAGGCTTATACTCTTTGCAGAGCCTCGGATATTTGATTGGAGCTTCATTCATTGATGTTAAGAAAGCAACTGCCACAGGTTCTACTTTGCTTATCGTCTCCATTTTGACAGGAGGCTACTACGTGGTGGTAAGCTCGAAATCTTTAAGTTATTTTCTCCAATTCAATATTCAATCTAATTACCTCTAATCATAGGGTATCTTATCCTAATAGCATGCAAATTCTTCTTTTGCAGCAAGTTCCTACGTGGATAAAGTGGATGAAGTACCTATCATTCAACTATTATGCATATAATCTTCTGGTGAAGATCCAATACGATCCATGCCTTCTTACTTGGAACGAAGGTGGTTTTGAAGTATGTTTGCTTATAGTATTTATCGTTCTATATCGCGTTTTGGCATATTTTGCCCTAAAATATATAGCATTGAAGCTTTGACTATGATTTATTGTAACACAGCTATATGAGACAGCTCGAATGAAGATATTTAGTGAAAAAAAAAGCTATCCATATCAGATAGCAGATTAATGGATACTCTTCTACGGGTCATATAGCACAAAGATAGCAACAACTAAGTGTTCGAGATCAAAACTTGCAACAAAGTTACTTATGAAGTGTCTAGATACCTTTCCATAAATATTAATAATTCTCGCGATTCAACAGTTGATGATAGCTAGAGATTTCCATCTAGTTCATATCTCCAGATGTAAAAAGTATGAATCTTCATACTCGGAAGAAACCTCTAGAAGTGATTGATAATATACAAAAAAAATTTACAATTTAATAAGCAACTTATTAATAAATTTAACCCTATTGTTTTACATCTGCTCTGTAGACAGCAGAAGCATCCTTGAGTGGACCCTTTGATAGTAAGATATTTGAAGGTAGCTTGCAGACTAAATAATGATATAAATATAACCATAGTAAATGACATGATGATAATATTTTATCTTGTTGTACTCTCTTAATCGAGCTTCACGCTTCAAGTATAAATTTTATCATGCAGCTCACAAGACTAGAAATCCAAGTAAGCTTTGGATTGGTAAGCAATGTATCTAGCCTTTCAGGCTTGGACAAAATTCGTCTCGGTTTTTCATAAATTTTTAAAGATTAGAATATCTGCTCTTCAACATCAATAGAGAGAAAAGAAAATTTGTGTGTGAAAATATTGAGGAATTTATTGCCGAATTTATATGTACTTTGATCTTTAGCTCACAAGTACCCATCAATCAACCGCAGCTTGCAAAATATTTTTACATCCTGAAGTGTCATACCCCCATGTATCTGTACAAGAAAAGCCACGGAAAATGGAGTTGTATTTTCCTTTATGCACATTGAGCATGAGGGGCTTTGTACTCAGGAGGATGAAGTAACCACAAACTTCACACCTCAAGTATACCCAGATGTCAAGCAGTGAATACACTTTGCACACGATGCTCTCTAGTGGGACTACCAGAAAGTTTTTAGATTTTTTTTTATGTTATGTACATCCCAATACTCAGACCCAATCGCCTCCAGATTCGCAGCGGCTCTGTGAGATAACTCTTGTGAGGAATAAATGTGTCAATTCATGTCGTCTGCATGCAATTGTCTCACAGTGGAGAACAGATGAAAGGGGCATTCACCTTGTCCTTTCTGCAGTACAAGCAAGGTCTTTGATCCAAGCCCTCTTCGACCATCATCGCACGAGTCATGTTCACCAACTGTTTGTTTGAGAGTTTGCCCGCGTGCTTTCTTACGAGGGTCTGAACAGCGTTGCTGAGCGCTCCATAGGATCCGTTGTCACCGGGCATGTCGGCGGACGTCTGGTCCGATTGGCATCCGTTGACGAGTGTGCCTGTGGAGGGCAGAAGAGTTTCTCCGGTGGGCTTGGCATTCGCGTGTCCGCTGAAGTCCAGCGGACCATTGACGAGTCGAGCGCTACGGAAGTATTTGTCGTTGTCGATCGTCCTATCGTCCCACATTTGCTTCAGATGTTTCAAGGCACTTACGCCAACCTCGTTATAAGAATTAGCCCACTCTTCTTCTGGAATTTCAGCTTCCAGACGGCTGCTCATGTTCTTCACAAACATCTTCACCGTAATACTGGCATCCTCATGGAACAGCTGGTAGATTGTAGATCTTATGGTTCCCACTTTGACTTCGTGCCCCGATGCTTGAGCTAAGTGTCTTATGAGACTTTTGGTTGAAATCCTTCGAGGTATCATCCAATCTATTTTACGCTCTGCGGATTCGGAAACCCCTCCTCCCCTCGTGGACGCTGTCTCGCTCCCTATTTTTCCTTCTTTGCCCACGCCCACCTGCAGCTCTTGGGAATCCAGCAGTCCACCGCTGTGGCAGGAGTCGAAGACGAAAGTGAACGCCACTCCTGGATTCAAGTTTGCCAGAAGAAGCCTAAAAGTGTCATCTGGACAACGGATGAATTATCTTATTAACCAAAAGGTAACGGTGCCGAATTAGCAACAGTGTTGAATGGATCGATGTTCGCCTTTTGAAGATCTCTGGTCGGCTACAATTTAGAATTATTTGTATTTGTGAAAACAATGTAGCACCACATGAAGGTGCGCGGATGGGAACAAGGCCAGGAGAATCGTGTGTGAGATCTAAATAAAATACATAACTTTTCCAAACTTCAGAGTCTGGCAACCAGAGACCAACACTCTTTTCACGATTTGAGAGGTAAGTATGCAGTCTATAATTAAGGGAGGAATCATCGGTCAAAGTCATTACATTCTCATCTGCAGTTTGAGAAACAACTTGCAATCATGGTTCAGAAGAATCCGAAGCTATCAAGATCATTGCAAGGAGATTAAAAGTGAACAACTTCACAGGAGTCTGTACGATTAATGTGAGAGAGATAGAGAGAGAGCCATACCAGTGATGGTATTCAAATCTGCCGGGTAGATACATTCATCTTCGCCATCATCCTCATGATCGCCGGTCTCTGCTGGAATTTACCCTCCGTGGCCACTGAAATGGAAATAAAGCACATCCCTAGGCTTTGAAGCCTTATTGACTTGCCGAGCTGTTGTACAATATTTTTTCCCGTGGGCATGAGAGACTTCTCATCAGTATCTACCATGAAAACTATGTTCTTCTTTTTGAACCCGTATACTTCCATAAGGATTTTCCTCATATTCGTCACATCGTTTATGCATCCATACAGCGGGCAGTACGATCCGAGATAGTTGCAACCAACCAGCATAGCTCTCTTCGCCATCTTGATAATGCCTCTTTTAACTTCTTATCACAGACACAGATTCGAATACACAGACTTTTTGTTTGAATCTGATTCTGTGCAAAGCAAGTGCAACCCACTCAAGATTTTTCTCGATTCTAGCTGCAACTGCTGCAGGCACTTGAGACTGATTGCCTTCCCACTAACGAGCTGAGGGATTTATTCAGACTCGAATCCAGAAAGAAGAGTTTTTTCCGCCGCTAATTCCCGGGGCTCATCCCAACTCCTCATTCACTTTCTAGTCTGAGGTCTCTACTGCAGCCCTGAGTAAATCATCTGGTTACTATTGAGTGATCTCTAATTGATCACATTCCACCTTTCCTTCGGCTCAAACTTCTCCTCGCAGCGTCCAAGTTAGTCACGCTTGAGTCGTGCAAATGCCTGAACCAGAACACCTGCTGGTACATAGAATAGCTGAGCTGCCGGATAAGCTGATATCTAAGTGAGTAAGAGATGAGGGGCAGGCGGTTACTCACGTGATGACGGTTGCGTAAGGTTGCAACTACAGGGTTTAATCTCTGTGCTTCTCATGCAAACGATTGTTTGTCACTCTTGAGAGCAGGCCAAAGGTGTACCGGATGGACTATCCTGGATAGAGTACAGCTCAAGCAATGGGTACCTTCAAGCACTTGATAGTTTTGAGCAGCTTCCAAGTTTCGAGCATAAAGTACTTTTATGTTATAATAATGTGTCGGATGTGTGATGGTAAAGAGTCGAAGCACGCCGTTTGAGTTTTCTGGCTGTTGATGCGTGAAAGTTTTGAACAGATTTGCTTACATTCCAATCCGGGATGTGAATAGAGAGTTTTGTACGCTGATAAGATAGGCTTGCAAGAGAGATGCAAAGCATGCTCCGCCTTTAAAATGAATGTCGTCCCAAGCTTCCATGCAAGTTGCATCACAAGCTACGAATCACGGCAACGTGTCGTGTCACGCGATTCAGACTGCCCTGGATCCCTCCGTGATCGAGTTTCGTCCACTCCATCAACCCATGCTTTTGGATTGAGAGCTCGTCCTCTCTGGAAGCTGAAACATCTTTACAATCCGACAAATGAATTAAATAATCGAGCACGTAGACCCAGTCGTAGTAGAGCTCTGGAGCACAAAACTGGGACTCAACGTGATGTATGATCGGTCATTTATAAAAGTTCAATATTCCTCATTGCCCTTCACGCCGTCGGGCATTGAGTCACTGTAGGTAGCATTCACAGGCTCAAGATCACATTCGGAAGAATCAACTCCTCCTGCATGAGCTGCAATCTTAGAGCTTTCCGCGGGAGAATTACCTCCCTGAACTCTCTCCGATGTGTACACCCTGTCCAACACAGTACCAGCACTGCTACATTTAGTACTCAGATTGTACAACTTTCCGCCTTGCTCTCTGCCTCATTGTTGGCTATCATTTTGCATTCAGCACACATTTCATACTACACGCGACTGCGAGTCGAAATCCCGGCAAGGACATTGCTTCAGAATTACATGTTTTAGATAAGAAAGTGGCAACGAACCTCTTTCCACAAGATTGCTTGATCGTAGATTTCATCTCGTGATCCATGTTTAAAGCTCAACTAGAGACAAGCTTGAGGTGTAACTAAATTATGATGTCTTTTCAGTATTGTATACCTTCACCCGTCTAGTCCATTCTAATATGTGGTAATGGTGTGCATTAAACCAATTTCATGCAGACATAATGGTAGCTGATCACAACAAATGCACATTTACAAGAAAAAGAGTGTGGAGGTTTGCACCAGTCTCATGCCTTTTACGTCAGATTTTACCTTTAATATTGGACTGGAGAATCAAACACCGATTTGCGTGAGAAAAAGGCTAAACATAATTCAAAGAAATGAAATGAACAGAAGAATTCGAACGGTCATATATATTCATGCCTCAACGATTTTTTTTTACACCTTTAGCCTGGACCACATTAACTTAGCTCACACACTTATCAGTGTCCAATCCGATTAATGTGAACGGTGTACAATACTTATCTCATCATGTAAGACTTGTTCTACTTGAGAGACGGATCAGTTGTACCGACTGCAAGTATGAGTTACTCATGTGTCGATGTCAAAAGGATACCGTCCAGCTTTCGGAGTGCAGTCGTTCAATTTCCTCTTTCCTTCACCGCACGCAACGACTGTCAATGCTTTCTGACGAGGCTGAGCATTTGATTCAAGGCATCCTCGTGGTCACTGTGG